ATTTTTCCTCTATTTTTATTCTTCATAAGACCTAAGTTTTTGTCCTTTTAATTTTTATCCCCAGCAGTTGGACAGTACCTACCACTTTGTAGAGATACCACAAATATTTGATAAATGAAAGAAAGAAATACACAGTTATATATAATCTGTCCTGGAAGATTTTAAAGGCATGATGAGTTATTCTTCATCTATTCCTGGCTTTAAAAATCTTACGAGAGATTCTAGAGTAATTTTAATTACAAGCTAGTCTACATTCCGCAGTATCCACCAGAATGAATTGGAGTGGTCTGGTCATAGGAGAAGTAATGTAAAACGAACTTATACAATAAGTTAAATTTTTACTTTCTAGTAGGAGTTTTGTCTAACCAGTAACCAGAAGCTCTATACTTGTTATCTAAGCCCCCCTATCACTTGATATTTCCCCAGGCTTATCCTGTTCCACCTAAAAAAATAAAATGTACCTTTATAATGATCAGAGTACTCAAATGAACAGCTACAGTTTAAATGATGACACTCAAATGTTTTCAAACTTGACATTTTCACATGGGTTCCATTCTCCTATTTCTGACTGCTTACAAGATACAGGTAAGATATCATTTACCTATACTTAACAATGCCACCTCAGATTCAGCAACTTCACCACTGAAATCTATTCATCTTTACCTTCCTGCTCATTCTCTCTACCCCCACCAGTCCAACACCAAATCCTATTTCCTACTCTTGTGATCCCTAGTTTGGATATGTTACCACTATCCACCCAGTAGTCAAGGTAAAAATCTCAGTTATTCTTTATTCACTGACCACATGCAATTAATCTGTCACATCTTATCTATGTTACCTCCACAATGTTTCTTTCTGTCTCTTCCCCATCTTAACTACCAGTGTCCACCCTTGTAATCACTGATCTGGACAGTTGCCATAACCTCTTCATTGAGGTCCCAGCTTCCATTCCTTTCACCTTCCAAACCTCTTCACATAAATGACTTTTTGATGGGGGTGTGTATTAGAAAGAATCCTCTTGCCCCTGAAGATTCAGATTCACTAAACTGAAGGTACAGCTTGGGTATCTCAGCACAAAAAGCTTCCCTGATGATTCCTGTGTTCACCCAGATTAAAACCAGTATTTTACAAGCTTCTGGAATTACCGTTTAAAACCTTACTATAGTCATATCATCTTTGGCTTAAAAACTTTTAGTACCTCCCCTACTGCCTGCAGTATAAAGTCCAAACTTCTTGCCTTGTGATAGAAGAGATATCATTAAACTCTTGCCCTAATCTCCCTGTCAGATGCTTTTTCGGCTACTCCCCTCCCAGGGCCTTTGAGTCTAGCCAAGTAAATTAGAGACCCAAGTATGCCATGTACTTTGGGATTTTTGTACCTTTTCCCATACCATTTCTTCTACCTTGGTTACCCTTTTTTCTATATCTGGAAAACTCTCGCCTCAATGTAACTTTACCTGAAAACTGTTAACCCATTATTCTTCCAGGCAGGGATAACAGCTCTTCATCTGTTGAATTCTCAACACTTTGTGTATACTTGTATTGCTGCTCCCAATAGTTTGCATTTGTGATGATGCTGTGTATGATGACACACACATACATACCTATACATATAGTTAGGTCATTAAGATAAAGATAGTCTTACTTATCTTATAGGAGTAGGTACCCAGTAGGCATGCCCCTTTCCTTTTGATTAAGAATTAACAAATTATATTGGGAATGCCCTGGTGGTCCAGTGGTTAGGACTGCGTGCTTTTTGCTGCCAAGGGCCTAAGTTCAACAAGGAACTAAGATCCCACAAGCCTTGCCTCATGGCCAAAAATAATAATAATAATACTTAACAAATTCTAAAAAAATGTATATTAAGAAAAAAGAATTAAATTCTGAGTCTTCTTTTCATATCCACCTCTCTGACTATCAAATTACCTTCTATCTAGATCATTCATCTATCTCCTTATCCAAAAAATTGGCCTGTCTTGTTAACAAAGATGAAACCCCTCAAATCACAGTACTGAGTGATAGTTGATGGTCACTTGGGTATCACAGAATTCATTAGTATCTAAAAATCCTTGCCGATATCTTCACCAAAGAAGGATATAGAACATCTGATAGTCTTTGCTTCAAGGTATTCAGTAAGTTTTGAACGGTAAAGATCAATACAACTGATCTGGTGAGTTCTGTCAGTTCTCCTACTTTGTAAGTAAGTTTCTATAACTGGCACCATTAATGTCTACCTCACACCTAAAAGTAGCGTTCTTTTCAGTTTTGTCTTGCAAGAACTATGACAATTTTTTTCTTTGAAACTGGGAGTAATTTTTGATGTATTACATCTCCTGAGACCACATCTAAGCTGTTGGCTTTCTCAGTGGGTCTAGTGGTAGATTCTACAGTCAAGACCCCCTTTAAGTTTTCAGATGCCTCTTTGATCTTGGGTTATAAACACGTATCTATTTCCCTAGCAAAACATGTTAGGAGTTCAGAAAGGGTATAAAATTTGTGGGCAGGTCTGGTTAATTTACAGCTTACAATCTAATCCTTACTGTCTGGTTTTGAATATCAGAAAAGCTTTGCTATGTGTGCTGTAAGATAATAATTGATCATGATATCTACCAAGAGATAAAGATAATTATTAAAACCTTTTGTGGTATCAGACCAAATAGAATGCTACAAATCATGAATTTTATCATGTGGATCCATGTTTGGGGAATTAAAACAAACTTGTTTTTTTTTTCCTATTGTCATTTTTCCTCAAAGAATGTAAGAAAGGAAATTGAATGCAGTAGTATCTTCAATATTGAAATATACTGGGTAACTGCATAAGTTCTGAAAGCAACATGAACGTGTCCTTATCTATATTGGAAATGGGTTGCCAATAATAGTATATTAAAGAGGCAAAGCACATTTGTGTTTGCAGGACTGAAATGTTTCTGATGCCTTCAAGAATGAAAAGCTATCATGCTGGATTTGTTTCTTTAACAGGAACTGTCTCCTTATCCCCTTTGGACAATGGATTTAAAAGAATTAGAGGCAAGAATATAAGTTTAGGGTAAAATGAAGCTAATTTTCATGTTCACTTCCATTAATAACCAGCCTAAAACAATGGATTATAACTCAACACAGCACTACCATTAATAGGCTTGAAATTTGCGGGCAAAACTGGATGTCTGCCTGGAAAGTAGGTGGTGAGATAAATAATGTGAAATTGAACTCCAGCCTCAAAAGGCATATTTCAGTTCTGAACGTCTTACTTTGTCATGCAAAGGAAGAAATGTGTGACAATAAGCATAGTGTTGTGGCTTAAAAATCAAGAGACCTAAATCTGTTCCCTACAAATTACTTTCCATCTTTGATCCTTTCCACTAAATGAGAAATCATTAAAAATATTTCCCTATCCGGAAATGAAGAAGTGTAGAGGTAGACCCACCCATCTCTCAGTACTTTGGACCTACCTGAAACTTTTCCCTTGAGCCTGTGTTTGAATGTACTATGAAACCTACAAAAATAATAAAGGCTCTGGTCTTTAATATTCACTAAGATAGGGACTTTCCTGGCAGTCCAATGGTTACGACTCCACACTTCCAATGCAGGGGACGCAGGTTCCATACTTCGTCGAGGAACTGAGATCCCACATACAACATGGTGTGGCCAAAATATATGGGGTTTCCTAGGTGGTGCTAGTGATAAAGAACCTGCCTGCCAATGTGATGTAAGAGATACAGGTTCAATCCCTAAGTTGGGAAGATCCCCTGGAGAAGGAAATGGCAACCCACGCCAGTATTCTTGCCCGGAGAATTCCATAGACAGAGGAGCCTGATGGGCTACAGTCCGTAAGATCGCAGAGTCAGACATGACTGACGTGACTTAACATGCATGCACGCATATATGTATTCACTAGGACTTGCTAAGTATAACCTCTAAAAAATAATTTCATAATTGACTCAGCTATTAAGAGATAAGAAGGAGCCAGGAGGTCATTCTCAAACACCTAAATATAAGAGAAGGACTTCTCTGCCTCACATTTCTGCTGTTGATGGACAAATTTCTCTGAAAAATACTTCTTTCAGTTTAGGAGAGGAAGTGAGTGATTTCCCAGGAGGAATATTTAGCAATAGTCATGTGGTTCCAAGTGTAAGACAGAAGCCCTTTGTAAGTGAACTTCGTGGGTAAGGAGAGGGGCTGAAGAATGGCTGAAAGGCAGAATCACAGATTCCTTTTGGTAAGCTTGGAATCATTCATTCAAGACTCACAGGAGGAAGAAAGAAACCTTGAGTCCAGAAAACTGACCAATAAAAACAAGTTATCAAAAATGCTTATCTTCAAATTTAAATTTGAATTACAGATATGGCCTCTTTAACACTCTAGTAAAGGATTGATAAAAGAACTTAGTATTTAACAATTTAATTGTTTGTAAATTGTATGCAAACTAAATCTGAGGGAAGACAGTGAACTCTAACCAAGTCTCAGGAAAAGCAGGCATGTTGCTGCTGATGCCATATACCTAGTGTTTCTGTAAAACACCTGGAATGCAGAATTCAGACGCTTGTGTGCTAAACCTGTAAAGAGCCGCCAGAGTTACATCCCTGATGGCTCAGATGTAGAAGACCCATTTGACCCCTGGGTCAGGAAGATCCCCTGGAGAAGGGAATGGCTACCCACTCTAGTATTCTTGCCTGGGAAATCCCATGCACAGAGAAACCTGGTGGGCTACAGTCCTTGGGGTCTCAAAGAGTCAGACACGACTGAGCAACTAACACTTTAACTTTCAGCCACGTGGGTACAGTTTGCTGTTTCTATCAGGTAATGGCTCTAGGGTCCTTTGGCTTTGACCTTGCTGAGCACTTAGGCTGAAAGTACTGATTTCTAGCCCCATTCCTCATGGATCCCTCTGTGCCTATCAGGAGCAGTGTTAGTAGTTGGTCCTTTGCCCTTATCACTTTTCCATTTGTTTCCCCTCGTTTCACTGGTAATTATTAATATAATGTCGATGTCTTTTCTTCCAGTCCTCCTCGCCCTCCGACGAACATGAATGACACCATGGTGAGCCACATGTCCTCCGGGGCGCCCACGCCCACCAAGAGGTATGTGATGCTTGTGCCTTAGTCCCCGCTGGGAGTTGGGTTCTGACCTCTGTCCTGAGAAGCAGAGCGTTCCACTGGGCAGAAAGGACTGACTTTCCTTCTCTTCCTCTGACTGTCTTTTTATATTATTTTCTATGCTTTATCCTCCTGTTTCTTCCCCTACTAACTTATAAATATAGCAACTGAAGGAGTCTGCTTTTGAGTGGTGCCTGAGGTGGATACTGTCCCTTTGTGACAACCAGTGAACATGGTGTCAAAGCAGATTAGGCTTGTTTGAGATCTCTTTATTTTTTTAACATTAAACAATATTTTGATGAGCATGAATTTCAACAGTTTTGCATTAGAATTCTTGGAGAGTCAAAGATCATTTCTGCTTTCTGATTGGACTGCATAAGTTGCGCTAATTCCTTATGTTCTCTTGCATCATTCTGTGTAGAATTTATAAGCATCTAAGGTGAAAAGCCTGAGTTTCTCTCTTAATTATACAAGGACTTTCCTTAGGGTCCTTCACGGCACTAGAACAGTATATTCCTTTCTCCTCTTTATTTCGTTAACTCTTCTCCAAAATTCTCTTACGGCAGGACTTGAAAGAGCTGTATGAAATGGTTGACTTCCCATCTGATTTAAGCTGTTCCCTCACCAGAGCAATGCAGAAAATTTCTCAAGGGCACACCAATAAAGAATTCTTTCTAGTAGTCATCGCTTAAAAAAAAAAATACAAAAAAAACTCTGAGATATTCCCACCTACTCCCCAAGTCCTTCCTGAAGAAGAGCACTTTGTACTGCAGACCTGAAGAAAACTAAGTGTACTGATTGCTTTGGATTAATTTAACTATAGAAATGTCATCTATGTAATAATACTTTGACTTAATATATATAATACTTAAGATACTAATACTTAAGAGCAATTATGTTTGTTCACATTGGGTAAAACTCCTTGAGCAGTGTTTCCCAGTGATGAGAAGCATCAGCTGGGTCACTTGCTAAACATACACATTTCTGGGATCACACATTTCTCAGATCCAGTGGACCCTGAGATCCTGGGAAGCCACAGGTTAAGCAAGTATTCCGGGTGATTCTTATCATCAAGCAAATTTGGGAAATAGCCTTAGAAAGAAACGAAGGAATAAACCATAGGAATCTGCCACCCTGCAGTAGAGGATTTAGGGACTTAACAAATGAGAGTGACTTGCTAATACAGTGTTACCCACATGGACACTCAGCACCCTGGCCAGATGACAGTGCTTGTCCGCAGCCTTGTTGGGACGCTACCAGCAGGACAGTAGCTGCACTGCTTCTTTGGGGCAAATTGAGTGGCATGAGCAGTCTCAACTGTGCACAGATTTCTGAGCCCTTTGACTTTGTGTTTGAATCCTAGCTCTCACCTGACCTTGCACAAGATACTTATCTTGGTTGATTTATCTGTAGAATGAGGACAATAATAGTATCTACATTGTGGAGTATGTATGTGAGGATGTAAGATACTGTCCTTATTATTTAGGAAGTGAACTAATGAGAAAACAGGTGGGGAGGAGGGGCTAATTTACAGAGAATGCCCTCTCTAAGAGGAACAGAAGGCTTATGAAAGAATGCAAGGCAGTAGAAGCTCTCCCACCTGCCTCAATTTTACAGTCACCCTTGCTGGCCTTAGCTTTTTATGGTAAACACTCATAACATTCAGAGCCAGACCCAGAATCTAAATATCAGCTCAGTAATGTTTCTGTTTCAAAACTCAGAAGACAAGGTAGATTATTGAAAGAAGTCAGCTTGTGGTTTTATGTTTTGTTAGTGGCTCAGTCGTATCCGACTCTTTGCAACCCCATGAACTGTACCCTGCCAGGCTCTTCTGTCCGTGGAATTTTCCAGGCAAGAATACTGGAGTGGGTTGCCATTCCCTACTCCAGGGGATCTTCCCCACCCAGGGATCAAACCCAGTTCTCCTGTATTACAGGCAGATCCTTTACCATCTTAGCTACCAGGGAAGTCCAGGTTTTATGTTTTAGCAATGCCATTTATAAGGATTTCACTTCACCTGAGTTCTCTTCATTTACTAGTTTTGTCATCTGACTTCTTGAGGGCCCTAAGTGTATGGTGACCAAGGGCACTGTGCATTTAGGGACCCACAGCTGAATGTGGCTACTAGAGTCTGTTGGGGGGAGTACATTTTTCTGGATGATATTTCATTGCTTGAGCAGCCTGAAAGAAGGGACTTGGGAGTAATAATCATCACAGCTCCTCTCTAGAAGGACTGCTAACCTTAAGCTTGATGTTGCTGCTTAAAGCTCTAGCTCAGTAGTCAACGGCCAGCTGCCATTGTCAGTCACAAAATATCTACGATTTCTGAAAGTTGTTTCAGATAATACTGTGTAACCTGGGTGAATATTTTAAAGTCAGCAGTTCAGCTAGCATCTCTTTCTGGGTAGGCTTCGTCGATGCTACAGTGGTTGTCACAGACTCTCCAGGGGCTGACCAGCAGACCAAGCGAGGCCAAAGCCCTAAGAGACCGGAGCAAAGGCAGAGCTCTGTGACTGACCATGAAGAGCAGTTGTTAGAAAGCCTGCATGGGAACAAGATGCGCCTGTCCAACAATATTGTCCTTAGAACTTTAGGAGATTTCATTTCTATTCAGGATGAAATGATGATATAACACACAGACATTAATTGCATAACTCATAGATTTGGCTCTTCCTGGCCCCAGTTACTCAACTGTATAAATTTCAGATAGTACCCTGTTTACTTCCTCGAGGACTCACCAGTGTTTGTTTTCTCCTTTGAATGTCATCAGACCTGTGTCTCCAGAGTCTGATAAAAGGCAGGAGCCTGACACACCATCCCAGTCATAGATCCTTCCTCTGCCAGGGCAAAGAGTCCTCGGGGGGCATAAGGCTACTCTCCAGAATAAGGTTTTCTTTAGAACTCAGCATAAGACATAAATCACTGAGTCAGACAAGAACACACACAGTATCAAAAACGCCCCCAGAAAAAATTAAGAGTTCCAATTTCTACCTTTCTGATAGGCCATGCATATAAAAATAGTCACAGCCCCAGTGGTGAAAAAAATATTTGATTAACCCAATAAAAGATGGTCAAGTGTAATGGTTACTTTTTACAGAAGAAAACCTTATAAAGGGCTGAGATGCTGACAATCATGTGAGAAACTGTAAATTATGTACCTGAAAGGTTCCCCTCTAGGGATTTGCCCTCCGTAATATTTTTCTAATATTCTCACATTGGCATGTCTGTAGTTGAAAAGAAATTTTGTCTTTGAGACTGAGTAGTTTCTAGAAATGTGCTTCTGTTAGAGAATCAGAACAGTATACTTAAAAACAAACAAACTTTCAGAACTTTAAAACAGACTTAAATTGCCCGTCTGCTAGTTAATTTCCTCTGAGGCTTCCTTCTGCCCCTCTATTTCCCCAAGGTTCAGAATGTGATTATATTATTACGGTCTGCACTATTGCACTATTTTAAGTCATACCTTACATTCAAACCAATATGAAAAATGATGCTGATATTTTTAATGTATTCTAAAGCTTTGACTTTAATTATTTATACACATAAAAATGTTTACAATTCTGTGGGCATTTCATATAACTTTGACATAAACAAAAACCTCTAGGATGAAACTTTTGACTTTGTGCATTTATTTGGTACAGTAGTTTTAACTCTTTTAACTTCAAGTATTAAAATCTAACTTTAAAAAGCACAAACCCAGTTAAGCCAGATGAAAACATTGTAAAAGTCTTGTGTACAACCTTGTATGGACTTCCCTGGTGGTCCGGGGATTGAGAGTCCATTTTCCAATGCAGGGGATGCAGATTTGATCTCTGATTGGGGAACTAAGATCCCACATGCCATGGGGGATCTAAGCCTGCACACAGCAAATAGAGTAGCCCTCACGTTGCAGCTGGAGAAGCCCCTGGAATGCACTGCAACAAAGACCAGCACAGCCCCCCAAAAAAAGAAGACAGGGAAGAGCAGAAGCTGAACTGCCACCGAGATGTCCACCCTTGGCTTCTCCATCTCTTGGCTCCTCTCAAGTGTGGTCTTCATTCCCTCCTCCTAAAGAACAGCCGCTGCTCAAGGTGCCAGTGGCTTCCAACTCACATCCTCAGCCTTGTCACTCAAGAGGCTGTGCCTTTCCTCTCTCGGATTAGAAGACTCCAGGAAAGGATTCTTGTTGTCCTGGATGGCATTACCGCCTAGCCTCGTGTGTGTGGGCGGTAAGCCAAACTCTCAGACCTGTATCAGGAGAGTTGAGGGAGGAGCATTTCTCCTAAAGAAGGTACTGTCAAGAGCAGCAGAGATCCTGTAAATATAAAAGAAAAATACCAGAGATTGTTGGCAGAGTGCTGTTTTGCTGCGCAGCACAGAGAGGTGTGCAGAGGTGTGCACATGCCTGCGCGTGCACACACACACACACACACACACACACACACACACACACTTCCTTCCTGACACAGTGCAGCAGCATGACTAGGAGTGTGCACTCACCTTTCCCAGAGGTCTAATCCCCCTCCTGCAGACAGCATGGGGTCCTGGGTATCTGGGTCATGTCCATTTGTCGGGATCAGCTCTTTTGTGCTTCATTAACCTAGTCTACCATGGACTGAATGAGAAGTTTTAAGAACTCTCACATCTTTACAACTCACAGCTACAACTATAACTCACAAGTCTGTAACAGCAGATACCTGAAAATAGGATAATTATAATTTAGAGAAGCGATGGGGGGGGGAAGGAAAGTCATAGGAAATAGGACATATTAAGCCATATCTGCCCGTTTCCTCCTGAAACACCGTGAAAATGACAGTCGAGAGTTTTGGGGGTTTTTTTTTGGTAGAAGCCCACAACAACAGAGAAAAATGGGTGAGGAAACAATAGCAAGAACACTTTGGAAGCAGCAGAGCAGGTGGCTGAGTGGTAACTGATTTTTCCAGGCTGGAGAGAACTAAAACCTAAGCCAACTGAGAAACCCGGAGGAAAGCCCACCCAGGAACGGG